TCCTTTTAATTAGCTTGAACAGCATTTTTGCTGAATGTGGCCTCCAAGCAGCTGTTTCTAGGCATGGCTTCTTTGTTAAGATATCTAGCCCCTTCCTCTTTTTCCTCTTAAAAAAATTACACAGATGGCTTATTTCTTTATATACAGAGACCTTAAAAATCTTAGTGGACCTTTTCAGACATAGATGAGTGACAAAGGATAGTCTGATGACTAGCTATCTCTGTCATCCAGCTTCGATAATTCCAACATTTGATAACCTAGCTTTGAATGGCATTTCTGGGATTGTTCCCCATTTAAGCTGGAGGCAGGAATACATTTATCTCCTGCCTGGTAGGCACTTGCTAGATTTCCTTGTGTCAGTCTCACTGATTCCTGTTATCCACGTCTTCTGGTTAGCCATGCTTATTTATATCTGGGCCCTTGAGTTTCACAGCACAGTTTTGTTTGTTGTCAGAGCCAGCTCCTGGACCCCAGAGTCTCACATAGCTTCCAGCCATCTCTGCATCTTCAATTAGTTATTCTGCGGCCCCCCCCCCTTAGCATTTTCTATTTCCCACAAAGCCCTCCAGGCTCTTCTTCCATTTTGAAGACATTAATTCAGTTCTGACCTTAACAGGAAAAGTAGTTTGAACATGGGCTCCACAGTGGGTAAGCTCCTCATTTCTCTGGCTGGGTCTGAGAAGGACTGGCCATGAAGAGGTCCCTAAGGACCCAGGCTAAATGCAGTTCTGCTTGCCTCCTGTGTCCCTGAGTCCCAGCTCTGCTAGACAGACACACAGAGAGCAAGAGGCTTGGACAGGTTGGCAGTGGGTGCTTTGGAATGCTTCCCTTGTCTTGCTGCTCTTGCTGCACAGAGCCCCTCCCCAGTCCTACAGAGATCCACAGGTCTTTTTTTTTTTTTTTTTTTTTTTTTTTTTTCTTTCCTTCACTTTACCTAGGCTGCCTAGAATTTTCCAGAAGACTGGATGCTGGATGTTACAGAAAGAGCCCCTCCTCTGAGTTACCAGTAAGCTGTAAAGACAGATGCTGGTGGCTGTCCTGTGGTTTGCATCTGTCCCCAAAGCTCATGTGGGGGAAGTTCATGCCTTTCCTCTGCATGAAGGTGGTGGGACCTCTCCCAGGCGGTTAGGCCACCAGAGGCATTGTCCTCAGAAGTCAGGTGGTTCTCTATAGATCCCACATACTGTGAGGGCAGGTGATAAAGACCTTGGCTTCAGCACATCTCTGGCTTCCCATATAGTCTCTCCCTTAAACATGTTCCCACCACGGTGCTGTCTGCTGTGAAGCAAATGCAGCTGATATTCACTACCACAGGTCAAGCGGGTGAGGCTAGTTAATCTTGGACCCTCAACCCACACCTGTGACCTAAAGAACAACAGAGTCTCAGGTGTTGTGTTATAGTAATAGGAAATGAGTTACTACATTAAGTTAGTTAAAAAAATAAATACATAATTAATTAAATAAGCTACCACACAGAGAAAAGGGAGTGAGGGATGGAGAGAAGAGAGATGGTGGCTGACAGGGAGGGAGAGAGGGGAGACAATACAAGGTACAAGGAGGGAAGGAGAGTAGCCAGCACCCAGCCATGTTGAAAGCCACTATAACCCTCAGGTGTGTGAACTGAAAGAACTTGGCGTCCTATCACCTGCATCCTAAAGTGTCCAAACAATAAGGACGAGAAATAGGGCGAGGATTGGAGTGAGGGCACATAGTTAGCTGGAGTAGTATGCTAATGGAGTCCATTGGAGGCTCAGCTGTCTGTTCCTGACCGTTGAATCACAACCAGAAGACATGGTGTCAATCCTGGACAGGAAACATAGCAGCTGCACATCTGACTGAATATGACCCCATCTCTGGAGGGTGGATCTCGGTTCCCTCAACTCCAGGTTCTCCTCCTTAGTTCAGCCCCCTGGGTGAAGCTGCAGGACTCATTCTCATCCTGTGGGTACTGTGCTCAGGGACTTGTGCAAAAATGCTGGAGTCTAGCAAGATTTTCTACTACTCACTGTGTGGGGTCTCTCCGGGTTACATCCACTCATTGGGTAGGGCTAACCTGTTAGCCTGCAAACAAGGGAAAACATCAAGACTATACATCCCCAACCCCCAGGTCAGGAGACATAGGTACATGGTGATCAGATAAAAATTATTAATAGCACACAGCATGACCCACATATCAAACAGCCAGGTGCATACTGCTGCCTCTTTCGAATGCTCTGTGAGCTAAGGATCTTGTTTTTGAGCCCAATGATGTAGCCAGTCTGGCCTTAACCATCTTTCTGGCATCTCTAGTGCTGGGATTATAGGCGTGCATAACTTTCCAGTTTAAGAATGTTTTGTGGGTCTGGACAGTGGTTAAGAGCACTGACTGCTCTTCCAGAAGACTCAGGTTCAATTCCCAGCACTCACATGGCAATCCACAACTGTAACTCCAGTTCCAGGGAACCTGACACCCATGGCATAACACCAATGCACATAAAGATTAAAATTTTTTTTTGAGTGTCTTGAGAGTGGTTAAGAGCAGTTCTCTTGCAGAGGATCCCAGTTAGGTTGCCAACACCCACATGGTGGCTCACAACTGTTTGTAACTTCAGTTCCAGGGGATCTAATGTCTTTTTCTGGCCTCCCCAGGCAGGCCTATGTAGCATATCCATACATACAAGTAAACATTCATACTTACAAATAACACAACAAATCTTTAAGAATGTTTTTCTGCAGTGCTGGCCACACCCCTAGCCTGTTTTTGTCATTGCTATTGTTACATGAGACAGGATCTTGCTTATCAGCCCAGCCTGACCTTGATCTCTCAGTGTGCCTGCCTCAACTTCTCAAGACCTAGGATTATATGAGTTTACCTCTGCTCAAACCTAAGAATAGCCTTTATATTTAGAAATGACCAGCACTCGAGAAGCAGGTACAGGTTGATCTCTGTGAGTGTGACGGCAACTTGATCTACACAGAAACTACTAAGCCACCCAGGGCAACACAGTGAAACCTTGTCTAAAAAAAGGACTTCTATATAAAGACTATACTAGCCTCACATTCTCACAGAAGACTAGAGGGTACCAGCCCAAGCAGGTCTGCAATGATGGAGACCAGCTCTCTTTCAAAACATTTGAACTGTTCTTCCCAAGCGTCTTAACTGGGGCAATAAATTCTGGTCATGAAAGCGATTCTGGGCTGCCGCTGGCTGTTCTGGAAGAAACGGTTCAAGCTCAGAAGAGTCTCCTTCAAAGGGGAACTCTCTGGGGCAGAACAGCTATTTCCACGATTCCGCTTGAACCGATGCTGGTGAACGCAGAGTTTCCCTTTACAGTTCCTCAGGGGCATCTCCACCATCTTACTTTTCTAAAGTATGATTTTCTTGGCATGCACCTCTGCCCTCTCTATCCCAGTTGGGACAGAAAAGATGTCTGCCTAAGACAGAGGCCAACCAACACAGACTGCTTGGGGATCCTACTGCGCTGCTGTAGCTAGGAGCTGCCAGCAGGGGCAGGAGAGGGGCAACCTCCCAGTTTCAAGACTGTTACTTCTATGGCTGAGCAAAAGTTTTGCTACTTGCTCTATATTTTAGCAGCTATCTGCAGAGACGTTTGGGTTAGGCCTTCTGAGTTCAGACCCCTGCCTTGTCACTTCCTGTGGACACAATTTCCATAAATCCATCTTCTGTTTTCTTACCTTTAAAAAATCTATATCTATATACACACATACATATATACATATACATATATATACATACATACATACATACATACATACATATATATTTCCCATCAAAGATGGCTAGCCCAAACCTCCCCCCCTCCCCGGGAAAATCTTGTGTGCTCCTGTTTACCCAACCCTGAGATGACAGACATTTGTCATCCTTGGATCTTTATCACATCCTTACCCATTTCACGGATCATGAATTAGCCAGTGCATCATATTGAGAGTTATAAGTCCCACCAACAGGGCTTTCTTAATCAGATTATCTGAAGGAACAATTGTTTTTATTCTGTGACTCACCTAATAATGTGGTGGTTAGTTTTTATGTATTTTAGATTTATTTATAAGTGTTTTGCTTGCACGTATGATCATCACATCTGAGCATACCCACAGAAGTCAGAAGAGGGTATCAGATCCCCAAGAACTGGAGTTATGGATGGTTGTGACCTACCAGGTGGCTGCTGGGAGCCGCATCTGGGTTCCTCTGAAAGAGCATCAAGTGCTCTTAACTGTTGAGCCATAATTTTAACTGTTATCTTAACAAATCTATAATCACCCAGGGAGAGATATCATTGAGAAATTGTCTAGATCAGGCTGGCCTGTGGGGGAACTGTCTAAATTTCATTAATTCAAATACGATTTGCCTCTGTGGGTAGCACCATTCCTTAGGCATGGAAGTACAGAGGGGGCTGTCGTCAGTATGCACGCATGCGTTCACTTCTCTGTACCCTTGACTACCTGCTTCCAATTCCTGCTCTGACAGCTCCGCTGCCCCCAGTGATGGACTTCAATGTGGAACAGTGAACCCAACAAACCTTTTCTACCTTTAAGCTGCCCTTATCAGAGTATTTTACTACAGCAAGGGTAGCAGGGAAGACACGTAACTGCTGCGACTGTGGATAGCTGTTTCATCTGCGGGTGCCGAGGCCAGAGTTCCGTCCTGACCCCGGGATCCTCTGTGTGACTGCATCTGCAGATGCCACTGAGCCCCTGGGCTGTTTAGACAACATGCTTTTCGGTTTGCATTTGCTTTCACTCCTGTGAATTAAGAATGAATTACTGCTTTTGCCAGCCACGCATGTTGGTACAGAAAGACCAAGCACAGCCTGTAGGTGCCACGTCTGGCGATGATCAATGTCCTGCCCAACAGAGCTCTGCAGCCAACGTTGCAATCTCGGATTCCACCTGGGACGGACTAAACGTTTCGTACGACCCCGCCCTCCCCGTCAGCCCCGCCCACAAACGGTCCCGGCTCGCCCGGTCCAGCCCTGCTCCCTCCAGCGCCGCTCGCGGAAGCTGCCATCGACATGGTGCAGGCCTGGTACATGGACGAATCCGCGGCCGACCCGCGGATGCCCCACCGCGCGCAGCCCGACCGCCCTGTGGGCCTGGAGCAGCTGCGCACTCTCGGAGTGTTGTACTGGAAGGTAGGAGTGCAGACCGGAGCAGCGCGCGCCTGCGCACTGAGAGGCTTGGGGAGCCGGCGCATGTTCAGCATGGCCTCTCCCTCCCTGTATCTCTCTGAAACTATAGGATTTTGGGCCTGCTTTCCTCGTAGCACGCGTCTGCGCTCACAGCTAATGTTTGCAAACGCAGTGCCACCTGTCAGTCACGTGGTAGTGTCACGGGTGACTCAGTTCCAACACTGGGGCTGGTGGAGGGGTGACTGGTTCTAGCTTGTCTGCCTTGATAAGGTCAAAGTGAAATGCAAACCATCTGGCTTAGAGTCACGCCTGAGGAACTTTGCAGTCGTGTCCCTTAAAACCATAGAAGCCTGGGGCTGGAGAGATGGCTCAGCGGTTCAGAGCACTGGCTGTACTTTCAGAGGTCCTGAGTTCAATTCAACCACATGGCAGTTCACAACTGTTTATAATGGGATCTGATGATCTCTTCTGGTATGCAGGCATACTTGTAGACAGAGCACTCATAGCAAAAAGCCCACAACTGAAGTAAGGACCTGTGGATGCATCTGCATAGGGTGGCCATGTGAAGTGGGAACAATGCTCAAATCCATCTCTGCTAGGATACTTTTGAGATAGGAAGCAGGGTGAAAGGTGGCTCTGCATTGGGACACATGTCCAGAAAATGATGTGGTTGATGCACTTTTGGCCTCCTGAATCAAAACGCCACTCGTTGGACACCAGCTCAGGCATGGGGGGGGGGTAGTTTCAAAAAACATACCCTTCTAGTTTCTGAGAAGTAATCTAGGTATCCATGATGGCCCCTACACACTCACCTGGTGACCTCCAAAATTAGTGCCTTTTAGTTAACTGAAGCCATGTCATGTAAGTCAAGCTGTGCCTCTGGGGTGGGGGTGGGATGTTTGCTCAGAGAGGCCCCTGGCATTCCTGTCCAGTGGAGGAGTTAGTCTTCCCTCCCACTGCAGAAGTTCTTAGGGAAAGGGGGCAGCAGGGTGATAAAGACCCCTCTCATGACCACACAGTTGGATTGAGAGAACTTTTGTTTGGAATATTATCTTAGTCCCTTCTGGCAATCCTCACAGATACTTTAGGAGGCAAACTCAAGACTTCCTGCATGTACCAGATTATCTGTAAACAGGAAATTATTTGCACAGTTGATATTGGAATCAGATCAGGTACCTTTGGTGTCAGGTGAAGGCCAACTAAGAGCTGCTCACAGAAGGCTTAAACAGCTCCCTTTGCAGAGCTGTAGGGCCACACTCCCTCATGCAGGAGCAATTGTGACTCCACTGTGGGCCCTCCTTTTATGTTGTCTTGTAGGTGACAAAGATTGCACAAAGGGATTAGGCAGGAGCACATTCAGCACTGAAAATGGCATTAAGTGTGTCATGCTGCAGGCTTGTTAAAAATATATATTAGGGATGGACAGATGGCTCAGAGCTAAGAGCACAGGTTCCTTTGCCATCAGCTCACAATTATCTGTGTAGGATTTCTCTGTGTAGCTTTGGAGCCCATCCTGGATCTCATTCTGTAGACCTCAAACTCACAGAGATCCACCTGCCTCTTGCCTCCTGAGTGCTGGGATTAAAGGTGTGGGCCACAACCATCTGGCTGGCTCACAATTATCTGTAATTCCAGTTGCAGAGGATCTCCTGTTCTCTTCTGCCCCTGCCTACCCCTCCCCACCCCATGCTAGGTCCAAAAGTGGTGTGCAGACATACATGCATGCATAATACCCATACGTATAAAATGTATTGATGCTAGTGCATTAGTGTGCTGTTCTGATGGTGATAAAATGTGCACTTCTTTGCAAAACAAAAACTAAGAATCACTAAGTTCATTGCTAAAGCTTCAAGTAAGATTTTAGATTAGTTCTTCCTGGAGCCTTTCAAAACATGTCAGAAAGAGGGGGGCAGTCCTTGACTTTGGACTTTAGAGAATAGGTAAGATTATGATACACAAAGATTGTGAGCAGGAATTTTAGGTATGGAACCTTGCCAGGAAAGGGTGTGAATGTGTATTATTTTTCTTTTTTTTTGAGATGGATTTTTGCTATGGTGCTTAGGCTGGCCCCCAACTCACAACTCTGTTGCATTCTGAGTAGCTGTAATTACAGTCATGAGCCACCACAACACTTCCCAGGAATTTTTAAAAAATCCTTTCTTGTTTTTTTTTTTTTTAAGTTTATTTACTTTTATTGTATAGGCATTGGTGTTTTGCGTGCTGGTAAGTCTGAGTGAGAGTGTCAGATCTTGGCGTTACAGACAATTGTTAGCTGCCATGTGGGTGCTGGGATTTGAACCCTGGTCTTTTGGGAAAGCAGTCAGTGCCCTTAACCGATGAGCCATCTTTTCAGGCCCACCTTTTCAGTGGATTTTTAAGAATGGCAAGTGGTTATTTTTTCAGCTTAGAATCAGGTTTCTTTAACAGTGGAGGGATGGGGCAGATAGAAGTAGAAAAGCCAAGTCGGGTCAAAGCATAGTAGCTCTCCCAGTCCATCTTGATGAACTTGAGCTTGGTCTGTGCACAGGAAGCATGCTGATCACACAGAGCTTAGTAAGACTGCATGGAAGATGGAGAGTGGCCACACACACGCCGAGGGTATGAGGGATAAGAAGTTCACTTGGAAATGTGGAGGACCCAGCAGGACTGGTGGCAGAAGACAGCAAACTCAAGCAGAGCTGGCACTGTGGAAAACGGATGGTTTATCAAATGGGGAGGAGGAGGAAGGCTGGGCTAGGACTGGCAAAGAATAAAAGATGTCCCGTTAGGTGATCCAGTTGCAGGTCTGGAAGGTGCATGTTACTATGCTTCCTTCATATAGGGCTGGGGAGCAAGCATTGTACCAGGGGGCCAAACTCCTAGCTCACTTGTTACACATCCTTGTGCTAAGATGGCCTCCATTTTGCTTAAACTTACATAGTTGGATGCTGACAAGTACGAGAATGATCCAGAACTGGAAAAGATCCGGAAAGAGAGAAACTACTCCTGGATGGACATCATTACCATATGCAAAGATACACTTCCCAATTTTGAGGAGAAGGTGAGCAGGCCCTGCCTGAAGAGAATCATCACCTTCCTGCCTGTTAACACAAGACTTTCTATTTAGTGTGATTTGGGGCAGGGCGATACTGTCCTCATGGAGTGAGGTGGGTGATTCCCTCCTTTCCAGCTATTTTGAGGGTGGTGACTGGTGGTGGTGCTTTATCCCTTTTGTGTGGTAGATCTACCAGTGAATCCTGGATCAGCTTGGGGTTTTCTCCATGGGATTCACAGCTCCGGACCTGGCTCTTCCCTAGACTTGGATGTTTTCCTGAGATCTTAGGGGTGGTGTCTTCAGGGCACCTGACCACTTCACTGGGGCCATTTGAGTTTGGTGGCACTGAGTCATTAACAATGTCCTCACAGAGCGGAGCATGTAATGGTAGCAGTTGGAAGGTGAAGGCGGGAGGATCAGAAGTTCAAGTTCATCTCAGCTACTTAGCAAGTTTGAGGCCAGCCTAGGCTCCATGAGAACCTGTCTCAGTTGGCTTCTCCTACCATTTGGGGTCTGGGGATTAAATTCAAGACATCAGTCGTGGTGGCAGGTGCTTTTACCAATGGTGTCATCTCCCTGGCTCAGCTCCTAGTACTTTTAATGGCTTGTAGCATTCACCGTAGTCTGGCTGTAAGGGCTGGGGCTTCCTGACAGCTTCCCTCTCCCACTAGATCAAGATGTTCTTCGAAGAGCATCTGCACCTGGATGAGGAGATCCGCTACATCCTAGAGGGCAGTGGGTACTTCGATGTCAGGGACAAGGAGGACAAATGGATCCGGATTTCCATGGAGAAGGGGGACATGATCACACTTCCTGCCGGCATCTATCACCGTTTCACGCTGGATGAGAAGGTGAGAGTGTGCTGTGCTGTGGTCTGGCCTGTGCATAGACATCACAGGTGGCCATGGTGACTCCATAGCTGTGTTGCTAGAGACTCATCTCCTAGACACACGGCCAGTCACAGCTGCCTCAGAGAGAGCCAGTGGAGCCTGCGTGGGAAGGGTTAGGATCTCACTTTTGTTCTTGGTGAACAGTGGCACAGCGTTCGGTGAAAGCAGCAGGTATCTCAGGAGAGAGACCCACACCTCGCTGAATGGGGAGCCTGCACTTGTTACTGATGGCAGGGCACCTATAGGATGGGGGCACTCTTATTTGGGGACCTCAGCAGTCATGCAGTACAGTTATTAGGTGTAGATGGAAGTTTCTGCCCAGCCTCGTCCTTCAGCCGTTCAGTCCCAAATAAACACACAGAGGCTTATATTAATTATAAACCGTTTGGCCTATTACTCAGGCTTATTACTAACAAACTCTTACAACTTAAATTAACACATAATTCTTATCTATGTTTAGCCATGTGGCTTGGCACCTTTTCTCAGTAAGGCAATCTCATTTTGCTTCCTCTGTGTCTGGCAGGCAACTCCTTTCTGCATTCCCCTTCCCAGAATTCTCCTAGTCTGGTAGCCCTACCTATACCTTCTACCTGGCTACTGGTCAATCCGAGTTTTATTAAACCATTGCAAGTGACAAACCTTTACAGTGAACAAGAACATTATCCCACATCAATTAGGTCTGGAAGTAAACACAGGGATTAGGGTTTTAGTAGACATTTATGGTTAAACCTGATATTAAAGTATCATTTTTGGTTTTTAAGGCAGGGTCTCCTGTATTCCAGGCTGGCCTTGAATTCATTATGTAGTTGAGGATGATCTCAAAATTCTGATCTTCCTGTCTCGACCTCCCCAGTGCTGGGATTATGGGTGTTTGCCACCAGACCTAGTTTCTGTAGTGCTGTGGATAGAATAAGGGGCCTCATGCTGGACTGACAGTCTAACAACTGAGCTACATCCCTAGCCCAAGTTAACTAAAACAAATTTTATTTTTAAATTATGTGTTTGTCTGTTGGGGTAAGTGCTCACGGGTGCAGGTTCTTGCGGAACCTAGAAGAAGACACTGGGCCTTCTGGAACTGGAGTTGTGATTGTGGGCCACCTGAAATGGGTGCTGGGAACTGAACTTGGGCCCCCTTCAAGGGCATATGCACCCTTAACTATTGAGTCATCACTCTAGCCCTTCCAAATTAATAGTAAATGCACATGATTTAAAATTCAGAATTATGAAGCCAGGTATGGTGGCATATGTCTGTCACCTCAGCATTTGGGAGGTTCAGGCAGGAGTAATAGGGCTCAATGTCATGTTCAGCTACATACCAGGTTTTGAGGATAGGTTGGGTAAGGTGAGACCCTGAAAAAACAGAGCAAAATAAGAATTAAGAATTATGAGATGGATACAAGGAGGTCATGAACAGTGTTCTCTTCCCTCTTCCTCCAGGCCCCAGTTCTATCCCTGAAGAACGTCACCGGCTGCATCTCCATAGTTCCTTTAGATCACTGGTTCTCAACCTCCCTAATGCTGCAACCCTTTAATACAGTTTTTCATGCTGTGATGACCCCAACCATAAAACTATTTCATTGCTACACCATAACTAATTTTGCTACTGTCAGCATGTAAATATCTGATATGCAAGATACCCCAAAGGGGGTCTCGAGCCCCAGGTTGGGAACCACTGCTTTAGAGGGTGTTAGCATATTCAGAGTCACCATTCTCTCTTTCCTCCTTTGACCCCAGAGGCAGCAGGCTCTTTCCACTTGGTGCACTTCGGGGTGCACAAAGAACCCGCCTCTTGTTCACAGTTGCACAGTAAGACAAGCCTGATTTGTTTAACAGTGATTTACCCACTGGATAGGGAATCCCTGTCGATGAGCTTATTCCCACATTGTGGATGTCAATGGTTCTGTAACATGCATTTGTCAGTTTTCCATGGGTGTGTTTATTTGTAGAATGAAGGTAAGGGCTGCATGGAAACTGCATTTCTGGTTAATATAAGTGCTGACGGATTATTCTCCTACCAGCTAAACGGCAGGGGTCTGGTGATGGAAGGGCTGTGCCCAGGGGAGGAAGTAAGGAGGGTAGGCGGAGTCCAGACCTGTTTCTGCTCAGGTGTGGACCCGGAGCAGGAGTGCAGATGCTTATGCTGCTTGGAAGTAGCCACACTGCTTGCACAGAGGTGTGAAGGAGCTGAGTGCTAAGTGGATGAGACAGCTTTGAGTGCTGCCTCGATTGTTCCCACGTAATGAGTAGAAGTGTTCAGTGAGATGTGGGGCTTGTTTTTCAGAATTATGTGAAGGCCATGCGGCTGTTTGTGGGAGATCCTGTGTGGACACCGTACAACCGTCCGGCTGACCATTTTGATGCCCGGGCACAGTACGTGAAGTTTTTGGAAGGAAGAGCCTAGTAGTGCTCTCTGAAGAGTAACTGCACTATGTGAGGCTCTTGCTGAGGTTACCGGTGGGAAGGTTGATCATCTCTCTGCTTTTGTATATGAATTTGATGCCAGACCAGCTCTGCTTTCCTTGGAAGATTGTCAGATCAGAACCTTTGTAATCAAAAGCATCTATAAAAGTCATTCTTACATGGAAGCCACAAAAATGTGAACAAGTGACCTTAATTTTCCCCAAACTCTGTCAAGGTATGGGAGCCCTGGGTTGGTGTGTGTATTAATGCATAACAGATCTACCAGATCTGCCAGAAGGTCCTGTAGCTGTCTAATGGAGTGTGAAGCTATGCCCTTTGGAAGGGGGCAGTTAAACCCAGCACAACTAACCAGAAGGAAGATGTTTTTCTTGCTCACTGATCTTTGGGAGGGGAAGTGAGGTTATTAGTTCTTTTTCCTTCAGATTAAAACAGCTATCTTAATTATATGCTCCTGGTAAGTGGTGTTACACTCATGCCAGTGTATGGCATTTTACTTGTTTCATTAAAGCCCCCTTCTGGACTCCTTATATGATTTTATATGTGCATGGTTAATTTCTACATCAGGGTAGAAATTTTCCAATGTGATTTCAGCCTTTTTATAATCAAGAGTCAAAAGAAGTATAATGTATGATTTTCCTCCTCAAGTGTTTTAGGTACTTAGAACACTAACCTAGCATACACAAGGCCCTGGGTGTGGGTCCCCAGCACCACAAATAAAGAATAATAATGCTAAATTATGTTTATGTGTCGTGTGTCACAATTACAGAAAAGTCCACAGTCCATGCCATAGGAGGGCAGGCTGTTCTCTTAGTGATAGCTTTCAGTGTGATTTCCTTAGTCACTGTATTGGTTCTGCTTCTGCTGTATGGGGGAGCTGGAGCCATGGGTGGGTGACTGAAGTTGCCTCAGCTTCAGAACTCAAGCAGCACATCCTGGGCTCTACCCGTCTAGAGCTACTGTCTTTAAGTAAGGACTGACTGGGTAGCTTTTGTCTACCGGCTATTGTTGTTTGTTTTGAAGACTATTACTCTGTAGCAGTGGCTGGCCTGGAACTCACAGAGATCCTCTTGCCTCTACTTTCTGGGTGCCTGTGTTCCTTCATGGCTTTGGTTTCAGTTTTTTTCTCCCCCCCCCCCCAGATTTCTGTTGACTTCCCTACATGAGAGACTGCAACCTTGAAATAGCCCTTTTCCTCCCCCAAAAGTTATGGTGTTTATCACAGTAGTAGAAAACTGTCACACAGGCTTCCCTTTGTGTGTGCTGTTTATGCTAGATGAATGTCCACAGGCCAGTTAAAACCCTGGCCTCCTGCATATCTTGTAGCTTGAACACCCAACTACATGTAGCAAGGGTGATTTATGGCACATGAAGGTTTTGGCATTGACTCTGCTTGAACCAGACCTAGGTGAGCTCCAGACTTGGTATTGTCTCCTGTGAGCTTCCTAGTGGTGGGCTCTATATAAAGGTCTTGGGGAGGCTGGTCACATTCTGGCCTCTTACTTCTCACCAGTGTGGTTGGAAAGGGCTACACGGAGGTGTTGTTGTTCAGATGGGTCCAAGACCCACAGGCATTAACAGTCTAGGAGGACACAAGCAAGAAAGGGGGATTGTTCCTGAAGGAGTGTGGCAGTGAATAGTGTGGTATGGTGGTGAGTGATTAGAACAAGGGCCATTAAAAAAAAACTGGTGTAGTAAGCCCTTAAAAAGAGCCTGTTACTCCTGTTTTTAGAGTGAGGACAGGCTGGGTTGCCAGGGTAACTGGGGTCCCTGTGTGAGGGGTCAGAAGAGTGGAGTGTGTACCAGCATCTGCCTTGGTTTCCTCAGAGAACTTGTGCCAGATGCTGTAGAGATGAGGACAGGCAGGAAGAACTTGGGGTCTGCCCATGTGTGGGTCCAGCTCAGCATGTCAACTGTGTGGTAGTTCCCCATGTGCAAATCTAGTTCGCTGGGTCAGCTGTGTGATGGCTGTAACACCGACAGGCTCAAAGCTCATTTGGAGTGACCCAGTCTTGGGACATGATCTCAGGACGGCAAGAACAGTCACTCTTCTGTCTTCGCTAGCCCTCGCCTTGCAATGGGAGGGTGAATAGGAATGGCCCTCATGGGCTTTGAATGCTTGGTCACCAGGGAGTGGCACAATTGAGAAGGATTAGGAGGCGTGGCCTTTTTTGGAAGTGTGGGCTTTGGTGTTTCAAAAGCCCAAGCCAGGCCCTGTGTTTTTTGTTCCTGTAGAGCTCTCAGCTGTTTCTCCAGCACCATGTCTGCCTGCATGCTGCCATGCTTCTTGCCACAATAATGGATGGAACCTCTGAAGCTGTATGGCACCCCCAATTAAACTTTATGAGTTGCCATGGTTATGATGTTTCTTCATAGCAATAGAACACTGACTAAGAGGGGGTGGGGATGCAGCCTTGGAGAGTGTTGGACCAAACTTACCTGCAGATGTGAGACCAGAACTCAAGTTTGCTGTTTCCATTGCCAGAACACCTGGTATCTCTTGGCATGACATCTGATTATGTGGTGCCTGAGGTGAGCAGTGTGAGTTTGCCACTCTCTCCCCATGGCCAGAGCTGGGGACCCTTGTGGCTTTGTTCCCACATCCTGGCCTGATAACAGGCAAGATGTTGTGCCTCAGCCCCTAAGGTCTGGTCTCTGGTCATGGAGGCTGTGAGCACCCGTCTTCTGTCCTTGCTGGCAGTGAATGTCCACTTGGCTCTGCCTCTTCTGTATGCTGTATTCCCTAGTTCCGTCCTTAAGGATGCAGAACACAAGATCTGGAGAGATGGCTCAGGCTTGCTGCACCTGTGGTTCCCAGAACCTATGCCCGGGGCTCATAATTATATGGAGCTCCAGCTCTAGGGGATCTGATGTCCCCTTTCTGGCTTCTGAGTGGAATCGGGGTATGCTCCCATGCAGGAAACAAGTATCATGGCTGATACTTGTTGCTGGCCAGGCCACAGGCCACTGCTCTGATTTTGTTAAAGCAGATGTGACATGCTCTTCAACTGCCCTCTGAAACATCTGTCTTTTACCTCAAAGGTGACTGAGGAGACCAGCTAGTCAGCTCCTGAGAGTGACTGTTGCTGAGGCACTGCGGAACAGTGTTTAGTCACGAACCAACATGTACACAGCACCTGTAAGGCTCAAGAAATGCTGTGAAAGGGAGTGTTGGGAGAATGTAAGCTGGGAATGGGGTGGGGTGCTGTATAGACATTGCCTCTGAACTGAACCGCTACCTCCTGGAGGAACACAAGGCCTCTTCTCAAGGTTACACAGTAGGAAGGAGAGCTGGGGAGTGGAGGCTGGCCAGCTGAGCTGCCTTCAAGTTTTGTAGGACTCCAGAGACACAGCTTTTGACAGGCACCACCAAGTTTCTGTACCTCTGGGTGTCCGTGCTCTCGTGAGTTCCCTCCCCCACACACCCCAAATTCATTGCTTCTCTAAGTTAGTCTTGGGTAAGACAGTATGGTCTGTCATCTTTGTCACTTGAGGTATTTGCCCATGTCACCCCAGGAAGTCACACAAGAGCTTTATCTTTTCATTTATTACAACAGTGAACAGACATGTGGCTTTGCTTTGTCCCATAGACGTTTAGTTGATGGAGCTGAGGTGGAACCCAGGCCCTCAGCACACGTGGCACAAGCTGTGCTGTACTGCATCCCGAGATTGTGTGTCAGCTGCTGTCAGGCTTTACATATGTCAGAGTGGTAGAGGTACACAGGCATTGAGCACACATCCTGACCTCCAGGCCCAAAGGAATGCACAGATGCTACGCCTGGCCTGAGACGCTTCTTGTTCCAGTTGTGTTGAGTGTGCTGATGGCTCTCAACCCGTCCCAGGCCATCCAGAGTAGCCTGTCAGGCCAGGAGTGAGCTGAATAACCAAAGAGATGCTTTGGTTTGGGACATGGTAGAAGGAAGACAGTGAACTGTAATCATTTAGGCCTGTAGTGAGAACAGGCGATATCATACACTTAACTGCTTCTCTGTAAGTATTCAGAAATGATCACTGAGAGGTTAACGTCCAGGAACAAACCAAAGGGGCCCAAAGTGTCTTGTGCTTCCTGCCTCTGAATGCCATTCACACAGCCCACCTTCACCCAACAGGCAGTGCTGTGGCAACTGCACGGTAGGCAGGACAGTGGGTCTGAGAGTGGCCCCGGCTCAAGGCATGCTCCTACACCCTGTCAGATGCGTTTACTGATCCATCTGCTCAGGGGCCTGCAGGGTAAAGAGACAGGAACTAGGCCAGCTTGAGGCACTGTGTGTTGAAGCTGTCCCCTTCTTTGCTGGCAACAGCCTCGAGCAGGCTCTGCTTCTTCTGCATGCTCCTTGAGGACTCTAGCTCATACATGGTGGTCAGGTTGAAGAGCACGCTCTCATGCAGGTAGTGTCTGGGGTCCTGTTGCACCATGGCCTCCAGCTGCCGCAGGGAGTCCTTGAGCTTGCCCAGGTAAAGCAGACACACAGCGGCGTTGTTGTTGGCCTGGGGGGAGAGGACATGTGCTTAGGGGGGGCCCTGCGTGCTCTTGGTGGTCTCTGGTCCCCATGTCTCACCAGCCCCTTTATGGATGTCTCAGGCCAGGCCAGAACAGGAACCTGGGTTTGCTGGTCTGCAAAAAGTAGAGGGGCCTGCTGGGTACCAAGTCTGCATGTCTTACCACTGCGTTTGCGGGGTCCATCCTCAAAATCTCTGTGAAGAACTTGTGAGCGTCTGCAAAGTTATTCTGGCCAAGGTACAGAAAGGCTCTGCAATGCACACAGAGGTAAAGCAGTGAACACAGGAAAGCCGAGAGTTCTCTCCAGCCAGGGCCAGTGCCACGTACACCACGGGGATTAGGGACACATGACAGAGTGAGTTCTGGGCTCTCAGGTGGACACTAGATTTATGGCTGACCTGACCGAAACACCAGACTCACTAGCAAGTCAGCCATCCAGGTTCCAGTCCAGACTCCGAGGCTCCAAACCAAGGTGACTTCCCTGCCTTATGAACAGACCCCCATACCCTGTTCCCTTCCTGGTCTGGTTAGAGGGGGAGCAGGCCAGTCCTGAGGACCATACACTCATGATCTTGTGGCACACGACTCATGAAAGCTAACCCTGAGACCAGTGCTGGCAGGAGCCCGATGGCGGGTGTAACGTACCGGTGTAAGTCTATACTGAGAACAGGTGCACTCTGTGAAGAGCAGGGATCCCTGCAGACTGGTTCTTAGGAGTAAGGAGCAGGGCTGCGGTTCTAGAAGGCCAACAGACTACCTGGCCTGAGGCTCCTGGTTCTCAGCACTGAGGACTGGGGCAGGTGGGAGAAAGACACACCCCAAACTGTGGGCCAGTGAGATTACTCAGCGGGTTAGATCACCAGCTGTCCTTTGAACCCTGAGTTCAGTCCACAGAGCGCACATGTTTCAGAGCCAACTCTCCACAGTGGCCCTCCGAGCTTGGCATGCATGTGTATATGTGCACATATAGGTCACTGAAGGATATTTACCTGTTCATTAAGACCATTATTTTACCCTGCAGTCCATCCAACTTCTTTGTTGCTTTTTCAACGTCTTGAAAATATTTTTCAGCTGTTTTTATGTCTCCAATCTGCTTTGACAAAGTTATCCAGTCAGTCTAGCTGACAGGTTAGAAGACAAATAAATGTAAAGTCCCACTTGTTCCCTGGTATCATGCCACACAGGGGTCCCCAAAGCCCACCTGGTGAGCAGGAGACTTTTAATAAAGACAGAGTC